TGATGTTTCTGACATATCTAACGGAGTACCACAAGGCTAAGTACTCGGACCTACCCTATTTCTGCTCTATATCAACGACTTGACTACCATCGATATAGAGGGTAAATTTACTTTATTTGCCGACGACAATATAATATTATGACACAAAACTAACACTAATGATCTATTTAATTGGGGTAATGCAAATTTATTAGTTTTCAATGTCTCAAAAAGCACGTTTTATCCTTTAATTGCATTCTTGATAATATTCCTTCAGCTTCGGATTTGAATCTGATTGAGAACATGCCGAGCAATAAATTTCTTGGGTTATTAATTGATAATAAGTTGAAGTTTGAGGACCACATACAATCACTCAACAAGAAACTTTCGACTGGATGTTATGCTGTGGGATATTTTTGATGGTTATAATGATCGTTTTTTTGATCTCATTCTTATAAATGAAGTTTTTGAAACTAGGTTTACATTATTTCATTATTTGACATATCCCAACCAAAAAGAGGTTAAGAAAATGACAATCGTCATTTCTTATTGAATATTGTCTGTATGCAACTCGAAAGCCTCGTGCAAAGAAAGAAAAACCAAAACGGAGATCATATTGTTTGTTAAGTTCCGATTCTAAGTTATAGATGAAGCTGAAAATCGTTGTCAGCGGGCAGCATTGACATCAACTACGCATGCTCATAGTTTGACAAACTATTGCTGCGACCTTTACAGGTGGTCACAACGAACTACAAAAGCATCTCCGACCATTATCATTTCCGTGAAGCGTGAAGTAAGTGACTTGTGGCTCAACCACAGCTTACTTACTATACAGTTAAAACACTCTCTTGGCGGGAACGGTTTGCGTCGATCCCCTCGCGCAGGCTTTATGCCCCGCCTCTTAGGGGAAAAGACGTCTATGGCGTGCAGTCGGGAGATCAGTATTACTTATTATACGTTTAGCCGTCATAGGCGGGTGTATAATTTTGTGCATTTTGTTTGTGATTCTTTTGAACATAGTGTTTTATTTTTGAATTTTTAACTGTAGTAAAATGAGTGACAAAAAACCATCAGGACATCATCATGTTTGTGCAGTGCGAAACTGTTATATTAAAGGTTATAACTCGAAGAAGAAATAGATTCAAAAAATCATAATCCGATCCTGTCAGGCAGAAATTAAAAATTTTACTTAAATAAATAATCGTTTTAATCAGGCCCTGAATTTTCCCCTCTGTGCGACAGAGAAAGCAATACTTCTGTCTCGCTTACTCGTAGACTGCGACTTCAAAGGTGCCGCCGAGAGTGTTTCAGCTGTATAGTAAGTAAGCTGTGGCTCAACCTCAAAGTAACAAAAGAGAGGTCTTTTCCATCCATACCTTGAAGGCAGCATAACTTTGTTTATTTACGGGAAGTAAGTTGGACCATAAAACAGTGGCGGTTGGTTTAGTTGATAACCGGAGGGATTTATATGTTTATAAAATAAATCATTTCAGGTGAAAATGTATTCTGTTTAATGATTTGGAGATCATATTCTTTGTGTGACGTAAGTTAGTTGTTAAGTCAGCAATAACAGATATAACACCGGTTGCACAAGAATAACTATTTAGTATACAAACTGAACATTGAGCAGAAAGCTTTTTAATCTGTTGATCACAGAATGGATATGACCTATGGCACACATAAGAAAAACATATTTTTCATTTTTGAATACAGTTTTTTTCATTTACATGAATTTTCGTGGTTTCGTCAGCATGAATTATTAAACAAAAACATAATGTCGGTCCACAAAGACCCCTAGATACCAATTTTGAATGAAATCACATAATAATATCACACCTCAATCGTAATTATAAATATTCATGATTTCTAATCGAAAATTCTTCATATCGGACCTTAAAAACTGTACCGCTTGTTTTAACCCAGTAAACCACGCGCTTTATTATAAAGTCATACATAAAAATCTAGTAGGTGATAGAAAAACTGGCTTTGTTTCAATAATCAATAATAAATAAAATTTCCTGTAGGAACTATTTGAACAGAATATGTTTTCATATCATCTGAACCAACCGCCACTGTTTTATGGTCCCATTTACTTCAAATGTAAACAAACTCTCCATAACCTCTCATTACCCGCCACCTCCTCTCGCCAATGAATTGTACAGAAAAGGATAGTACGATACCCGTTTCAAAACACATGTATTGCATTGGCATGGCAACTCTATGTCTTACTATTACTCTAAGGCTGAGGGTCAACCAATAAATGGTACCTAATTTTCTAAATTTATAGCAGGTAATTTTTGAAAGCTGTCGTCTCAACCACATATTTTTAAGCTTGAAATAATGATTCTATAATTGGGTTTTCATTCAGTAAATTTGATCTATCCATGATAATAATTAAGCAATTTTCACAAATGAAATTTTTAATTTCGGCAGGTTCCGCTAACACAGTAGCTTCATTGATAGTTATTACCAATGAATATACGGTGTTGACAAAACGCGTCTAGTTTTATTACTTCTAAATCGATTGAATGATGTTGACGTTTGGAAGAGTTTCATCAAGGCAGTCCCGATGAAAGCGCCAATGAGTATAATATGTTTAAATATGTTTTTTCCGTTAACCAGATATCGCACCCCTACGAACGACAACCCTCAGAAGTCGAAACTTGTGTGAGCTAAGGACTAACGAGGTCTTACCTTTTAACGTGTGATTCGTAACACAGGTTGGACGATAGCAAGTGAAAATCGAGCGTTCAGCCTGGGGCTTGAATCATCGACTCACACATCGGCCGATTGACTGAGTGAACCAAGTACCCACGTCGAACCGCTTGGCTACCGATCGACAAGAAACATAATATAATCTGTCCCTGGATAATGCATAAATGAAGCTACACAGCTTGGTCTATTGCTCCTAAGGAAGTAAAGCAATGTTGTCATCGTAGCGGAATTTATTCGATGGTAGCGACGTAGCGGATATGAAGATGAATCAATATTGAAAAAAATATCGAAGAAGAGGCAGTGGACAGCACTCGAAGCTAACAGCTGACAATGAATATTTTTCACTAGCAGTGCTAATAGTTGGGTAGGGACAAACACTGCCTAATCCTCATATAAACATGTGGTAAAGTACAATTAAAAAATAATGTTTTCAACAGAAGAAGATGTTCCTAGAGTAAAACTAAAATTTGCAACTGTAAAGAATAACAATGGTGTAACATTAAACGTTGGCTTGCATGCCGTAATTCAAAAGTAACTGAAAAAAAGGAAATTAACAGGTTAGTATACAGACTCTAGTAAGAGAGTAGCGGTAGATTCAAACTGTAATAAATGAAATTGAAAATAATTATGAATTTCAAATTTATTTCCGAGTGAAATATGAATCAAATGTAGATGGTAATGAAATAAATTTAAATAAATATAAAGAATGAATATGATTTAATAAACGATTGAGGTTATTATATATCATTCTAATCAATGGTAATTAACGATGAAAAATGTACTATTCATTTCATACATATGAATATTTGATAATTTTGGCACTGTTGAATCTAACCCCATTATTATGAGATTTTATAAATGGTATATGAAACACGTTTTCTTCCGGATGTCGATTATCCGACGTACAATTAGCAAAACAACAATGCTTTATTGGCATTATACTGGCACAAATTAATTTTTTATATCAGATTTATATTTTCAAATGATAAATTAATATTACGTAAATAACACTGTTTTACATGTGAATAGTTTATGTTTGTCCCTACTACTAGTGCTGACTCTCGTGACACGTTCACTGTACTGCTGTAGTATTCTCAGGAAAAAGGTTCATCATGGTCTTAATACCTGAGACCATCACATTACATGATGAAAGAGAATAAGAAGATTGTTAAATATTTTATTCATATAACCTCAAATATTTTGAAACTAAAAGTCTCGAGTATTTGAAATTATATGGAACTAATTACAATGGAAATGAAAGACATTTCATCCGATTGTAGCTCGAGCGTAAGAATCACCACAGTTGAAATTGACGAAAACGGGACATGTTCAAAAGTTTCGAAAACAAACTTTTTCTCAACATTCGAATTCCAATTCGAATGGATGGATTAGACCTGTCGCGAATGATCCTTCAAGAGTTCATTGTATTGTTTACAACTGTACACTGAATACAAAATATTCGGACCTTAATATGTTCTAATATGTGATACTTTATGGTAATTCATGATCACTTAAATAAAATGAATAAACACACTTTTGTCTAAATACCACTAAAAAATTTTATTTTACGACCGGTTTTGGGTTTGATCCCATTATCAAGTATAAAACTATAAAAAGGATAAATCAAGTTGTATAATAATGGGATCAAACCCGAAACCGGTCGTAAAATAAAATTTTTCAGTGGTATTTAGACAAAAGTGTTTTTGTTCATTTCATTTAAACGTAATATGTTCGTTATTCAACTCGGGATTTGATGATGTTTTTTTATTGTTCACAATTCTATATACTGACTACGTACGTGAACGAATTAATATTTATTTTTACTTATATTAAACAAATATATATGTATACTTTTGATCTCTTATAAGTACCTATTCATATGAAATTATCGTGTGATGTTTATTTTTAGGTAATCCCCTCCTATAATAAATCCAATTCCAAAATCATTATTTCAAGCCATGAAATATTTGGTTGAGATGACAGCTTTCAAAAATGAATTGCTGTAAATTCAGAAGAATAGGTATAATTTATTGAGTTACGCGGTTGAAAGTGAGCATTGACCTGATTCCTGAAAGTTTCAATTGTGTTTATCTGAACGGTACACAAAGTGTAAGTTCTGTGGTATTTAATTTTCAATAGAGCGTATGCGCGAACTGATTTGCGTCAGATATACAAGCGTAACGGAATAAGGTTGGCTGTTGGCGACACTGAAGCAAAGACAAATAAATTATGAGAAGAAGATAAGTTTGTCATTCCTAATTTGTTTATTTGTTATGAACAGTGACAGTGACGTTTTATTATTTTTATGGTTTTGTGCTTTTTGTAGTGATGGCATTCTAACCTCATCGTACATCGTAATATCGTAAACCTTCACATATGTGTTTATTGAACAAAAATTATACTTGCTTCGTGTTTTTTGGTAACACTCTGAGAATAAAAGATGTCTGTTGTGATAGAAACAACGTCTGGGAACATAACAGTTGATCTGTTTTTGAATCACAGACCAAGAGCTTCCTATAATTTTTTGAAATTGTGCAAGAAAAAATATTATAACTACAATCTGTTTCATACAGTAAGTCGGGGTTTCATGGCCCAAACTGGAGACCCCACTGGTTCACGGAGTGGAGGTGAATCGCTATTCGGATTGTTAGAGGGCCCATCAAAGCGGTTTTTTGAAGGCGAAAACGAACCAAGAATAAAACACACCAAGATGGGATTGATCTCTTTTGTGGGTAACGAGGAAAGAATGATTGGTTCACAGTTTTTTATTACCTTAGGAGAAGATTTAACATATCTAGACGAGAAGCATTGTGTATTTGGTGAAGTTGTAGAGGGGTTCGACGTCCTGGAAGTTATAAATGAAGCTATATGTGATTCAGATGATAGGCCTTACAAGGATATTCGTATTACTCATACGGTGATATTGAATGATCCATATCCTGATCCAAAGGCACTACAGGCCCCTTCTAGATCACCTTCACCTAGTGCAGAACGACTCCAAGGTGGTAGAATTGCTCCAGATGAATGTGTAGATGAAACCGAGGGAAAAGACGTTCGTGAAATTGCCGAAATGCAAGCCGAACTTGAAGCCAAAGCCAGAGCAACTATTTTGGAAATAGTTGGTGATCTGCCTGATGCTGAAATGGCGCCCCCTGAAAACGTTTTATTCGTATGCAAACTGAATCCTGTTACTACAGACGAAGATTTGGAAATTATTTTCAATCGGTTTGGAAAAATTAAATCATGTGAAGTTATACGAGATAGGAAGACTAATGATTCTCTTCAATATGCCTTTATCGAGTTTGAAGACGAAAAAGCCTGTGAAGATGCCTATTTCAAAATGGACAATATTTTGATAGATGACAGAAGAATCCATGTTGATTTCAGTCAGAGTGTTTCTAAAGTCAAATGGCATGGGAAAGGCAGAGGCGTTACACATTTTGATGACAAAGGACGGAAAACCAGAGACAGTAATAAGGGCATTGGCAAGGGTGACTATAAAGTTTCTTCTAATGGAAGAAGTGAAATATCAAGAAAAGGTGATGCTATAAGCACCAAAGACCATGTGAATTACTTTGACAGAAATAAAAGGAGAAAATCTTATTCATTGTCGCCTTCTAGAACTAATTATATGTCGGAACGATTAGAAGACGTACGAGTATCAAAAAACACGAAAAAGGATAATATGACAGAGAAATATTCGCAACATAAAAGCTCAAGAAGGGTATCAAGATCTCGTTCGAGGTCTCCAAGAAAGCAGCATCATAATTCACCATCACCTACCCGTAGAAATGGTAGAGACATGTCACCTAAGAGGAGAGAAATGTCAAAATCGTATGGAAGAGATCGATCTCATCGCTCTAGAAATGAGGACTATGGTAGAAAAAGAGATCGATCTAGATCACCTAGGCATAGTAGACCTAGCAGTACATATATTAAAGAAACTAGAAAAAAAGAAAAAAGTTCTCAATCAAGTCATAATCATAAATATAGTAAGGCAGAATATACCTGCAAGTCACCCAATTTAAAAAATAGAGATGAAAAATCAAAATCAGAAAAACATCAGTCTTCAAATGATAAAGACAGATATAAAAGTAAATCTGAAGAGAGCTCTCGTAGAAAAGAACATGATCCTTCTGATGAATCGGAGCCTGAAGACAGAAATAAAAAGATATCGAAGAAAGATGAAAAGGCAAGCCTTGCTAGAAAAAAGGCAAATAAGTCAGAAATAAAGTATTCCAAACAATCTAAGAGTAGGAATAACAAAAAACAGAAAGAAAAATACAATCTTAAAAAAAACCCAAGTAAGATTGAAGATAATAATAGAAAAAGGAAAAGAAAACCAAAAGAAAGTAGTGACTCTAGTAGTTCCAGCGATTCCAGCACTGACAGTTCTTCCAGTGAATCCAGCAGTGACAGCTCTTCCAGTGATTCTAGTGATTCTAGCAGCGAAAGTGACTCTAGTGATAGCGAAACTGAAAGAAGAAAGAATAAGAAAAACAGAAAAAGGACCTCTTCAGACAGTAGTGATAGTGACTATAGTAGAAAAAAATCTAAGAAGACAAAGAAGAAATGACTATTTCAAAGAAGTAAATATCACTATTAATAATTGTTGACTTTTTAATTCGTAAATACAAATATTGTTACATGTTTATTTTCTAATGTCAATAATTAAGTATGTCTAGATGAAAAAGCTAAAAATCAATATATAAATATTTTATCAAGTAGAAGAAGGAGACATTGTACAGTTGTAAAAAATAACTTGTATTCAGGAACAGTAATGAGCAGTCAGTAACTGTAAATCACAAGTGGACTATAGAAGATTCAAATAAATCAAAGATTTTTTAGGAACCACAAAATATTTATTGACTGAATATTTGACATTATTTCATGATTACAAGTTCATGTGCCTCATATGAATTAACAGCCTGATGAGGTCAGTATAATCTAATTCAAAATATACTTTATTGACTGAATAAATGATGACCTTATTAACAAAGTGTAAACTTTACATTTATTTAAATTTTATTGGTTCTTTCAGGAATTTCAAATAATTTTATATCATATTAGTCCAAACGAATGAAATTCACCATGAAACATTGTCAACCACCTTCCAACAAATATTAACCTTATTGATGGAAACTTTATCAGTGATAAAAAATAATGGCAAACCACTGTAATAATCATTTTATTAATATTGGACTTGACATGCTTAAAAATATCACAGTTGATCCTGACATTACTGAAAGTATTTCGACTAATACTAATAGCATGTTTCTGACTCCGATAATGGAAAATTAACTAATAGAATATATCTCTTCTTAAAAAAATAGTAGTTCACCAGGCATTGATGGAATTAAAACTGATATCATTATAAAAATTCATTTATATATTCTCACACCTTTAGTACATATATTCAATCTCATATTTCAAACAAACATCGTGCCATTAAAGTTTAAATCATCTGTTATTTCACCCATAAACAAATCTGGGCATGAAATTGATAGACCCATTAGTGTTCTCAATAAATTTGGAAAAAAAATTGAGAAATATTTGAAAGATCATTTAGTACACTTTTAAGGCTCGAACAATATCGTCCACCAACAGTAGTTTGGATTTAGAAATGGTAAATCTACCACTGGTGCAATGTGCTCGGTGCTAACAGAAGTTACTGAAAATTTAGATGCTAATGAGAAATGTCGCGCAGTGTTTCCTGATTTAGCAAAAGTATTTGATACTGTGAATCGTGGAAAGCTCATCCATAAACTGGAATGCTATGGAGTACCTATGAGGAACAATACTGAATGTCTCGCACAAATAGTTAAATTGAATAACACCATAAGTAATCCAAGAAATTATAAAAATAGGAGTACCTTGGGGCACTGTACTTGGACCTATTTTCTTTTCAACATACATTACTTAACGCATTCTTATCCTCATCAACAAATGCAAAAGTAATTTCATATGCGGATGATACCGTCATACTAGACTGAGACGAGATCTTCTGGAAAGAGATATGGAAATTACCAAAAACTGGTTGGAAAAGTAGGTACCAATTGAACCTGAATATCAAGAAAACACACTACATTGCATTCTCTACATCATAAGTTAACATACCAATCTTCAGTAGTATAAAATTAATATCAATAAAGAAATTACAGAGGTGGAAGAAATCAAGTACTCAGGATTTATAATAGATGATAACTTAAAATAGGGTAACCATATTGACTATTTAACAAGTAAAGTGAGAAAGCTTATGTATAAATTTTATCAATTACGAGAGATCCTTTCTAAAAATCTCTCTTTATTAATTTACAAATCACTGGCTGATGAATCACTTTTTCGTTGTGGTATTCTAGTATGGGGTGGAATGTACAAAAATGCACTACAAAAACTAAATGTCTTACATAATTGTATTCTGAAGATGTTGGTGACATAAGATCTCTATATTTTCATAGCCTATGTATATATGCTAACAAATACAAGCATCAGAATCATCCTTCATATAACTATAGAATTATTAGTGCCACAAATCGTCATTACTTAAGAATTCCCAACTGTATCAAAAATATAGTTTACAGATGTTTAATATACAGGGTGTTTATTAAACATGCGGCAAAAATTTAAGGGACTATTCTACAGATATTTTGTCCTTTTGAAGATACGGAGCGAAAAATAATTTCGACAATAACAATTTATTGCCAAAAATTACATGTAATGTTTCTTAATCTACAAGAACTGTCGAAAATGACTAGCCCCTGTTCGGATGCAAGAATCCAATCTTCTCCTCATCGACTCCCGAACTCTTTCAAAAACACCAGGATCGTTTCTGATTGCCTTACACCCAGCAAATTGAATGTCTGCATCCGTTTGTAGTAATCGGAATGCTGTTGATAGGTACCAACAGAATTGTTAGTTTTTTTATTACTTGGTAGGTCCAGTGGAATACGCTATAATTTTATTTCGGCTACGTTAATAATTTTAAAATTACCAAAATTGTTATTGTCGAAATTATTTTTCGCCCCGTATCTTCGAAACACAGCGCCCTATCAAAAATCATCACAGGACTAAATATCCTTAGAAATATTCCAAGGAATAGTAGGTACCTTATTTTGTTGCCGCATGTTTAATAAAAACCATATATATTTTACTTAAAGCATTCAACCTTCTTCTTTCCTGTATAAAAGAGATAAAACTTTCAAGAAATTTAATGTTCTATCAAAAAAATTAATTTTCCATAATTATCACACTTTTCTAACAATAAATTAATTGCAACATTTACATTCTTCACTGACATATGCATATGAAGTTATCACTAATGTATTAATATTAATCCTGAGCCATTATATCATTTGAGATAAGACTAATTTAAAATCTGCGTATATAATAGAGTTGCACAATAAAAGTGTTCAACACTTAGGTGCTAATACTCTGTTATATCACTCCATTAAGGTGATCAGAGAATTATTATATGTTAGGTATTATATTATTATTATACACGAATAAGGCATTTGCTCAAAAGTATAATTTTTGAAATTGTGGGATTGGACGCATTTCGATTCTTTCAGAATCCCACTTTCACGATTTATGTGCAATATGTTCATTTCAATCGATTAAACAGAAACATTTTTCTTGCCCACGAATATTATCAAAAAATTAATATTTTTTTTTGTATATCAATTTATTTTCAAAATATTTCTTAGAAAAATTTACAAACTTAAAGCACAAATTGTATATACAAATGAGAATTTGGTTTCTTAAGTTACCAATTTTCTTTTTTATTCTAATCATTTATAAGGTAAGGTGATTTACTATTTATTTTAAGTTCAGAAATTATTCATCCATTCACAGACGAATCTAATTTTCAAATCAAATGTATCTACCTTATTTTGAACTACGAAAATGACAAATTACAATTCTCTTAAAGGAGCTCCTGAATTTTTTTAATATGTACTTCATGCTTTTGAAATATCACGATAATTTTCCTTTTTTATTAACGTGATTTTCAGACGTGTTTTACTGTATATACTTGATATACTTAGGGGAAAGTGGGGTAATCTCGGATGGTGGGTAATGGCGGAAGCATAGGTTCAACTATTTCATCAGTTCGGACTTCCATTGTCTAATATAATATAAATTAATTTGAAATCCCTGAAAAAATAAAAATATTAACCGAAAATAGCAATTTTATTAAACAAAAACTGAAATTACAAGGAAATAACATACAANGGACTCAAGCTCAAATTATCCACAAAGAGGAACACTGGTTTAGGAGATGTATTTCCAATTTTCTAAAAATTGTGAAATTTTTGGGTGGGGGTTGGAAAATTTTTCTGTAAAAAATGATTAACCTGGTCGAGATTCATGTCTGGCAGACCCGACCTGTAGGAATTTCTACCGACCTGCAAAGTTTATTTTCAATTTAATGAGGAATGTAGAATTTTTCCATACTCAAACGATGGGGTTTCGAATTTTTTTTTGTCAAAAATGATCAACCTGGTCGAGGTTTATGTCTGGCAGACCCGACCTGCAAGAATTTCTTTCGACGTGCAAGGTTTATTTTCAATTTAATGAGGAATGTGGAATTTTTCCATACTCAAAGGGTGAGGGGTTGGATTTTTTTTTGTCAAAAATGATCAACCTGGTTGAGATTCATGTCTGGCAGAACCGACCTGCAAAAATTTCCGGCGACCTGCAGTTTATTTCCAATTTTTTAAGAATTGTGAAACTTCTGGGTGGGGGTTGGAAAATTTTTCTGTCGAAAATGATCAACCTGGTCGAGATTCATGTCTGGCACACCCGACCTGCAAGAATTTCTGTCTTCCTACAAGATTACGAGAGCAATTTCTTCAGAGAACAATTTGCTGACCTGCAAAATAGTTATACCCCCGCAGTTGCAATAGAAACGTTTAGAGATAATATCCAAAGAATACCACGGCAAAACCCTGAAACCAACCAAAACATTGACGCCAGCCGTGAAAGCCTACATTCCTATATTCTTGAAAAAACCAAAATAGTACATTCATTTATCAGGTACTTATTAGTTATTTAAGTGCCAAACCATACGTATAATGCTTAGCACTACACTTGTGGATAAACTGTCGTCTTTTCGACTTTTTGTGCCCTCTGACGACTTCCGAAGTGGTAATCCTTATTGATTTTAGCTGTTAGTCTGCCATCTATTGATTAGAAACTCAACTGAATTGTCTTACTAGATGCCTTTAATCAATGTTACAGAGACAATGGTTACAGCATTTGTCGTTACAGGTTATTGTAAATAACTTCTGGTGAGTGTGTTAGATGGAAACCTTCTTTTTCTTCAAACAACTACTACATCATTATTCAAATGCATATAATGAGACCATTTGGTTGATTATCCAAAAAACAGATGGCATACTAACAGCCTAAATATATTATTACGGGATTACGGAAATATTTATAAACAACGTCAGTTTTTTATGTTCGCGAGTTCGCTTTAACAATGATCATGGATGAAATGGAAGAAATTGAGGAACAAAATCAAATTTCTTTAGAAATATTGAGAGAATCATGTGCAGGAGTGTTGATTTACTGCCGAAAATAACTTGAGAGTGATACCAAAAAGAATATTAAAATTTTGAAACGGCCGCCGGCCGTTAAAAAATCTCAACGGACCGAGGCTGTTAATATTAACTTTTCAATTGTCATCTGAATACCTACCGTTAAATCAAAATACCAGTATGGGATTACGAAAAATAGTTTGGTTTTCTTTTAAAGGAGATATGTTATATAATTCTGCATTAGAGTTGAGTTGCATCCATGGTGACAATAATAAAGAACTTTTTGAGAGTGATCTGAATTTAATAACATTACAATGAGTAGTAAACCCTCCTTATATTAGAAAGAATTAGATAAAAAAAACTTAGGAAATAATAATTTCACTTGTAATAATACCACTATAGTTCGTCAATTACGTACGTTGAATTTTTCTGGAGTTATGAATATTTTGACAATCTAGTAT